GGCTGTTTTGCTGTTTTCTGTCACCATGATCTGCTGCCTTCTGCCACATGTCATTGTTTCTTGGAGCCAGCTGAATATGGATTGAAACCTCCACTAACTGTAAGCTAAGTAAGCCTTTCTTTACTTAATTTTGGGTATCACGTATTTTGTCACAGCAATGAGAGAAAAGTAATCAAGATACCCATTGGTAGTTTAGGAGGGTGTTATTTAATTTCTGTGTGCTTATGGAGTTTTAGTGATTTCTTTTGTCAGTAATTTCCAGTTTCATTGCACTATTGTCAGATAATACGCATGGGGTAATTGCAATTCCTTTGCAGTTACTTAAGCATCCTCTGTGTAGTATATGGTGTATTTTGGAGAACGTCACATGCACAGCTAAAAAGAATCTGTATTCTGATGTTGTTGAGTGAAACACTCTGTAAAGGACTAGTATATCCATTTCTTCACAAGTTTGACTTAGTTGTGTTATTTCTTTGCTGAAGTTGGCCTTGTTGATCTGTCTGGTGTGACAGTGGGATGCTAAAGTCCCCCATTACAATTGTGTTATTGCTCATTTGAGTTTTTATGTCTGCTAAAATTTGTCTTACATTGTTTGTGCTCCTACATTGGGTGCATATATATTTATGATTGTCATCTCTTCCTCTTCCAGTTTTCTTCTAATAAATTTTTTTATTCTTTTTTATTGAGAAATAAATATGAATGAGACAGTTTCAAAGGTGGTTAATAGGACAGTTTCGATAATCAATACATTGTACATTGTTATCTTCTTAATGGTCATCCATAGTACAAGAAACAGACAGGATGTCCTGTCCAAACACTATTAGTACACATCTTTCTTCTCATTGAATTAAGCGAAAGTAGCTGTATATCTATCCTATTTTGTATATATAAGTACAAAATGATCTTTCCTTTATATCCCTTTTTTTATTAACCTTATTCTGGCTGTGAATTGTCTTATTGAAAAACTCATTAATCTTCTCACCAGATGTAAAGGAAGGGTCAAAAATAGTCTTTTGATCATCTCATATGTAAATGAGAGTGCAGGCAGTATCATCTGATTCATGAACAGTGCTTGGGAGCTGTGAGTCCTGTGGGGGTCCTGTAAGTCCACAGCCTCTTGGGACCTGTGTTCTGCCAGTGTCTCCTCTCTTTAAGAAAGCCCCTCATTCAACTGGTTAGCTCTGCCTGGGCTTTGGTCAGCTGCTTAGCTTGCTCCATCCCTAATCTCTTACCTCACAAGGAAAAGTGGAGGAAATACCAGAATCCTCTGGTTCTTACTGAAACTCAGAGGAAGACACCAGAGATTGTCCTTTGTCATCTGTCTACCTCAGGATGCCACATGACAGCCAGCTTGCTCCTCTGTGATACGTGTAATTAATTGGGCATTGGTCAGTTTTTCATCACTGTGACAAAACACCTGAGAAAAGAAGCTTCGTGGAGGGAACATTTATTTTGGCTTGTGGTTTCAGTTCCTTGTTAGCTCAGGCCTGTGTGGAGGCAGGAGGATGTGGAGGAGGAAGCAGAGGAGAAGAGAGCCAGACAGGAAGCAGCTGGGGCTGGACACAGCGCCCAGGCTGTACCACCACCGTCTGTCCTCTTCCCCTCTGATTTCTACCGAATTCCAATACTGTCCCCAAATTCTGATCTCATCAGTGGATCATGAAGTTGGAGCCCTGTGGTCCAGTCATGCCAGTGAACACCCACAGACACTCTGGAGATGTGCTGTGCCAGCTTCCTGGGCATCTATCAAGCCCTTCAAGGCGAATTTTCGTAGGTAGCTTCCTCCTGTTCCCTCTCCTCCTTTCCCTTCTCTTCTCTTCTCCTCCTCTTCCTCCTCCTGTGAAGTTCAGGTGCAGATCTACAAAGTTTGGATTTATCCAGCTGTGCCTGGCTTGGGTCTGGCTGCTGTGCTCAGCTTCCTGCTGCTGCCCTTGGGGGTGAACCTGTTGTGCCCCTCTGGCAAGATTTTCTGCTCCTGGACTAGCTGGGTGGTTCTATCCTCTACACTCTCTGCAGGGATTGCAGCTGCAGGGTTTCACCCCAGGCCTGTATGCCCGGCCTGAGCTGAGTCTGGAGGGGGCAAGTTGGAGTAGGGGGGAGAGGCAGCTTTCCCACACACTCACCGGGTCTGGGCTAGGACTGGGTCTGGGGATTCCCAGAATGTGACAGAAATTCCTACTCTGTGGGCAGGGTGTGTGTGTGGGGTACTATGGAGTGATGGGGGGCATCCTAAGAGGGTTAAAGATGGTGTCACCCATGCTGCGCCTGGGCTGGGACCAGTAGGTCACACCAGCACAGGGTAGCCGGAAGCTCTCCCACACACTCACTGGACTGGGTCTGAGGGTTCCCGGAATATGGCAGAAATTCCTACTCAGCGGGCAGGGTAGGGGAGGTGCTGCGGAGTGGTGGGTGGCATCCCTAAGGGGGTGGAAGAGGGTCTCACCTATGCTGCGCCTGGGCTGGGATGAGTAGGTCCTGCCGGCGCAGGGTAGCCAGAAGCTGTCCCACACACTCACCGGACCTGGGCTCTAATAAATATTTAGTGACATTCTTTATCTCTTTTAATCATGCTTGGTTTGAAGTTGACATTGTCAGCCACTGAGTTCATGTCTCATGGAGTATTTTTTTCTATCTGTGACTTTCAGTCTATGAGTTTCCTTTTGAATTAAATGTGTTTCTTGTATACAGTATAATTTTGGATTTTGTTTCTTGATTCACTCTGCCAGTCTGCTTCTTTTGGTTGGTGAATCAAGGTCATTTACATTGATGGTTATAATTGATATGTATTGGCTTATCTATGTTATGCTATTGTCCTGCTGTAGGTTCCCTACTTTCGTCCTGTGTTTAAATGCTTGCTCTCCTTGGTGTTTCCTTTTTATTATTATTGAAGCTGTGGTCTTTTCTGTCTCTTTCTAGAATATTTGTCAGTACTTTTTGTAGGGTTAGTTTGGTGGTCATGACATTTTTCAGTTGTTACTTGTCATGGAAGTGTCTTGCCTCTCCATTTAATTTGATAGTTTTACAGGTTACATCAGTCTGCATTGGAAGTTATTTTGTTTTAGGACCTGAAAAACTTCACTCCAAGCTCTTCTTTATTTAATGTTTTTTTTTTTTTTTTTTTTTTTTTTTTTTTTTTTTTTTTTGCGGAACCAGGGATTGAACTCAGGCCCTTGTGCTTGCCAGGGAAGCACTTATTCTACTGAGCCATCTCCCTGCCCCCTAGGGGTGACATCCTGAAGGTTTTGTTTGTTTGTTTTTTGTGGAACCAGGGATTGAACTCAGGCCCTTGTGCTTGCCAGGGAAGCGCTTATTCCACTGAGCCATTTCCCCAGCCCCGAGAAATCTGCCATGATTTTGATAGGCTTTCCATCATTGGTGATCTTTTTCTTTTCTGTAACAGCTTTAAATATTCTGCTGTTTTGCTGAATGTCTGGGACCTTGATTATTATGTGTCTAGATGTAAATTTATTTTGATTATGGCTAACTGGAGTTCTATATGCCTCACTTAACTGTATGCCAGATTCTTTTCTCATGCTGGGGAAATTTTCTGCTAGTAGTTGTGCAAACAGTCTTTTTATGTCACTTGTGCTGATTCTTCTGTTTCATTCACACCTATTAGTATTACACTGTTTTCCCTCGCATCATTTGGAAGCTGCTTAATTGTTATTTCCTGGTTCCTTGTTATTTTTAAAAGTCCTTTCCTTTCTCGTTGATTAGTAACATTGCTGTCTTCAAGGTCTGAAAGTCTATCTTCAGTTTCACTCAAGTGGTTTTGCCAGCTTTCAGTGGAGTTCTTCATTTCCTGAATATTTGTTTGTATCTGGTTCATGCATTCTTATTCTTTCCTATATTGTTTGTTCAATATTTCTATCATTTTTCCAATTTCCTCTATTTTTTTATCTATGCCTTTTTTACATGTGCTAAGCAATTCTTTCATGATTGTTGTCATTTCTTTTTACATGAGAGATTCTTTCTCTTCCTT